GTGTTATATACAGGGTGGGACCCGTGGCTACATGTGTGCGCGAATCGGCTTGAGTTGCAGCGGCTGACTCTTGTTGACAATTCCCTCGACAATAGCAAGCAGCCGCGGTCTGAGTCAGCACATCGCTGCCAAGCGTGTAAGCGGACCTCTGCTTCTTTGCTATGCAAGTAGGTTCGATGCTATGCAACCAGCTGGGGGAGGGCTCGGCAGGCGGCCATGTTCAATGGCATCCATATGGCGTGCGTGTGCCCCCCGACTGATCGTCCCAACACTGAGCTGCCGTTAAGGCAAGGTTCCTGAGCCGGTGTGCCACTGGGGTGTGTTACCGGGTCGTTTTGGGTGTGCCACTGGGCTGTCAGGGGTGTGCCACTGGGCTGTCGAGTGAGCCACTGGTGCTGTGTCGGGAAAGCACCCAGCAGCCAGGGATGATTTGCGCCTGCCTGCGGCCACGACCACAGCGTCACATATCAAAACAAGAGACTGGCGCATCAAGCAAGAGTCTACCGCCTGGAAGCGGCACTACCACGCTACATGAGCCGCGCAGTGAGTCTGCGAGTGTCACGCGGGCGCGTCAGCAGCGCCGCTGAGCGAGCGACCGGACAAACCGCGACGCTCCTGCACGACAAAGCCTTGAGGTGCTATGATATGGTATCATACCTCTATGGCGATGGAGGTACCAGTACGTATGAAATCCTTTCGTTTGTCGTATTATCCTTCCTTATCAACCATGGACGGCCTTCTGGGCGAGATCGCGAGCGCACTGGCAGTACGCCAGCGAAACGCCGCGGCCTTGGAGCGCCTGCGAAGAGAGTTGAGAAGGATAGTGATCCATTCAAGAGAAACGATTCGCGATGGTCTGCTCAGCATCAGCCCTGCAGTGTTCGTGCAGGTCATGGACTCGCTGCCTGTGCGCCGCGGCAGCGCGAGCGGCGAGGGCTGCGCGTCAAGGAGTGCCGTCGATGCAGCTGCCAGCACATTGGAGGTAGGTGGCGCCACACCTCGCGGCGCCCCGCGCACTGATTGAATGCGCACACACGAGCAGCCTACTTGACAGTGATTCAGTCATGGGGACAGCACCCAGCCACCAACTGACCGAAATGCGACGGCATTTTATGCCACAGCATTTCATGCTTTGCAAACTCCACCTGCGAACAATCTCGAGCCATTTTTGAATTCAATTAAAATATCTGTGTCAATCACATGAGACATACTCCTCAACCATCCCTCCATCATAGGTCTCATTGATTACCTGCACATCTCCACCGCCCCCGGCGGCCGCGCGTACGACGCCCTCCGCACGCCGGCCTGCGCCGCCGCCGCCGCCGCCGCTGCGGCGCGCGCGGACGCGGACGCGCGCGCCGCGGGCGCGTACGCCGCCGACGGAGGCGGCTTGCTCGGGCGTCAGGCGCGGATGCGCGTGCTGCTGCTCAACCGCATCGTCAGGGAGACCTTTGACCTCGACACCCACCCCACGCTGCCCGCCGCCGTCGCTGTGCTGCGGACGCCAGGCGCGGCCGAGGCGCTGCTGCGCGCCGGGCTGCTGCCGCGCGAGCGGCAGCGGCGCGAGCCAAGTACGGCGGAGGGGGACCATCTGTGGCCGTTGATAGGCCTGGCGTACGTTTTCATCGACGCAGCAAAGGATGTCGAAGTCGGCCTCCTGCAGCCGGACGCCGACACCCGCGCCGCGCTCGCCGAGTGGGCGGCGGTGCAATCGCGCGTCGCGCCGCTGTTCGTCGACGTCGTGCGCACGCGCCTCGCGGAGGGCGGGGTGCGTGCGGAGCCCGCGGTGCAGCTGGCCGCGCTGCTGCTGGGCTTTGGCCGTGAGCAGGACCCAGATGCCCCGCTCGATGCCTCGTTGCTGGCTTGCCTGCCAGCCGTTCTCCCGCCGCTCGCGGCGCACGCGCAGCACTCAGTTGCGACGCCGCAAACCCAGGCACTGGTGTGGTCCGGCATAGCAGGCCTTCTCGCCGATGACAGCAGCGCCGAGCTCGCGGCCACGTGCGGGGGTGATCTCGCGAAGCACGCGCTCGCCTTCCTCGGCCGTGCCGCCCGCCGCGCCACCGTCGATGGCGCCGCGGCCGCCGCAAGCCCCGGCTCGCGCGAGGCTGACAGTTGTGAGGATGCTGCACTCATCGGAGCCTCCCGCGCGCTCTGGCAAGTGGCGCTCGCGGACGCGGCTGCCAATTATAACGGGCAGCTGCGGCCCAGCTGCATCGCCTCGGTGCCTGGCGCGGCGGCGGCGGTTGTGGCGGTGGCTCGCTCGTGGCTGGCGGCGGCGCGGGCGACAGACATCTTTCAGAAGGGGAGCGCCTTTGAGAAAGGGCGCGCAGACAAGGCCTACTCGTACGTATGTGCCACAATCGCGCTGGTGGCAGAAGCTGAAGAAACGATGGGTAAAAGTAGCGGCGGCCGCGGCAGAGGAGGAGGGGGAGGAGGCGGTGGTGGCGGCGACGGCGAGGACAGCGCGTGGCTGGGCTTGACGCGGCGCCTCGGCGCGCCGCCGCTGCTGGCGAGCGCGCTGGTTGTTCTCAGGCCGGACAGCTCGAACAGCGCAGATGTCGCGTTTGCACTGGCGGCGCTGCTGTATGGGTGCGGACAAGGGCAGCAACCGGCGGTGTGGGAAGAGGCCAGCGCGGCGGCCGGCACGGATGTGTCGGGACTGCGGCGGCGCATCTGGACAGCGCTTTTGCATGCTCCAGGCCAAGGTATCTTCTTGATGGGGCGACTGTGCAGGTTCTGGTGGAGCTGCAGGGGAGACTTGGCAGCCACGCCCACGGTGCTTTCGCTTGCCGCTCAGCGCGCGTACGCAGGCGCACAGGAAGGGACCGCGGAGGCTGCTGCGGACCTGCTGGGGGACGTCGAGGAGTGGGCGGCGAGGGAGTGGGCAGAGTGCAGCGGCGGCGGCGGCGGCGACGGCGACGGCGGCGATGGCTTTGGCAAACCCGCTGCCAAAGCCGCAGGGGTGTGTGTTGAGAGGGCGCGCGTGGAGGGCAGTCGGTGCAGCAGCTTTGTGGAGTGCAACCCGCAGGGAGGCCCAACGGACGGCCAATCAGCGCAAGGGGCTCATGTGACGCGCGCAGAGCAGGCGCTGGTGTCGCTGCTGCACTGGGCCTCGCGGGGGGCTCGCGCAGAGGGCGCGACGTCGCGTGCTGCTTTGGTTGAGGAGGAGGCGCGAGACGCGCTGGCGCTCCTGCACTCCAGGCGTCAGCTGCTGAGGGTGACGGTTGAGGAGGCGGGGCTGGCGCAGCAGCAGCCGCAGCAGCCGCAGCCGCCGCAGCAGCAGCAGCAGCAGCTGCAGCAGCAGCAGCAACAGCAGCAGCAGCAGCAGCAGCAGCAGTTGCAAGTGCAGCAGCAGTTGCAAGTGCAGCAGCAGTTGCAGCAGCGAGCAGTGCAGGGGCAATTTGAGCAGGCGCAGGCGCAGCAGCAGCAGCAGCAGCAGCCGCCGCCGCAGCAGCAGCAGCAGCAGCAACAGCAGCAGCAGCAGCAGGTGGTGGATCAAAGCCAGCGGGCAGTTGCAGGATCACCCACAGCTATTGCGATAGCAGCAATGCAGCCACGCCAGCCGCACGGCGGCAGCGTCGCAGGCGGCCGGCAGTTCGCTGTGTGTGCAGCGTGCAGCACGGCCGAGGGCGCCGCGGGGGCACGGCTGCACCTGTGCCGGGGCTGCCGTCTGGCGTGGTTCTGCTCTGACGCGTGCTACAAGGGCTACTGGCCGGCGCACAAGGCGGCGTGCCGCGAGGAGCAGGCGCGGCGGGCGGGGCGGACGGCTGCGAAGGTCGTGCTTGATTAGCGTGCTGCTGGCAGCTGTCTGCCTGGCTGTCCAGCCTTTTTTTATTCTTTCCTTTCCTTAATTCTTCGCATCGCCTTCCAATCGCTTTCAAGTCGAGTCACCACCTCCTCAGGACCACCCATGACCCCTTTAGAGCGACCGCGCATACGCATTGCCATCCCTCCAGCATCAACACAGACGCGTCCTCAGTTGTTGCGCAGCCCGTCTGATTGCGCACCACCACGTAGCAAGCGCACGTTGGATGTGCATGGTACGGCCACATGCACGACTGCATTCCCCTAAGCAAAGCGCCACCTCCCACCATGGGTGCCGCCCGCATCCGGGCAGTTGCGGCAGATTGTGACCTGCATTCTGCGGCTCGGCCGCGGCGCTCTATGTGCTGCTGCGCCGCTGCACTTGGTAACTCAAGTGGACTTGACCAGTACTGACTGTACGCGCACCGCATGTGCATCCATGATGCCACCATCCAGCGATCAGCTGAGCTGTTTGGGGAGTTCTCTGACAGGCGCATGGCAAGGCAAGGCAAAACGACTACGCTCCGGCATGGGTGGGATCCACTGCTCGCTGCCACTGCCTGGCAGCTTGCGCAGGCTGTTGCGCTCACGACCCACCTGCTCAAGAGTGAGATAAAATCAAGACTGGGGATGGTGAGAAAAGTATATGTGTACTTCAGCGCGGGTTGGGTTTAGGCTTTAGCGTCTCGGGAAAAGCCCCATGCGGGCCTGACCTGCTGCAGCTATGATACTGCTGCCCCTGCAGTCGCTGCCAGCGCCACTGCCGCCGACCTGCTGCTGGTGCCGCCGCCGCTGGTGCTAAAGCTCAAAGGGCGGCGACCGTGATCGCGCGCTTTTGAGGGCTCAAAAAGACTGTTGCTGTGTATTGTGTCAAGGGTGGAACCAGTGGTCTGCAGTGTGCGCCCCACGATTTGCTCAAGTCGTGAGTTGCGGCGGCTGACTCACTGAGGACGGCCTCAACAGCTGCGAGGTGCCCCGCTTTGACTGAGCCTATCACTACCAAGCGTGCAGGCCATTCTCTGTTTCGCTGCTATGCCGGTAGGTTTCGCAGCTGGGGGCAGGCTCGGCAGGCGGCGACCTTCAATGGCGTTGAGGGCATGCGTGTGCAATCCGTCCTGTTGGCCAGCGTCAGCAAGCCAATGCTCTCCCAACACAAATCCGTGCCGATGAACACTGTAATGTATTGCCACGGACACTTTCCACAAGCATTTGCCGTCATTTTTAACATACTGAGTATCATACTTTGGCAGAGAACGCGTACACATGTGCCGTGATCTGGAGTAGACGTTCTTTAGTGGAATTGTACTCCCTTATCCCTTGACATTGTAAAAATTCTTGCTTGATTCATAAGCCTAGTGCATGCGAAGCACCCAGACGCTGTGACCAGAGCAGCCGCTCCAACGCGCAACTCTTCGGCAGCATGCGCACCCGCGCCGGCGGCGCGCCGGCCCCGACGCCGCCCGCCCCCTGGCCACGCCCCCGCTGCCGCTGCCGCCTCCGAGCCCTTGTGTCCCCGCCGCGCGCGTCGCTCGCATCGCACGAGCTGCACCCTCTGCGAGCCGCAGACAGCGGCGGCGACGAGCTCAGCCCCGCCCTGGCAGCCCTGCGATCCGGCGGCGTTTTCGCAGTGTATGATGCAGCCGGCTCTTTGCAATACATAGGCCTCAGCCGCCAGCTCGCCGGCTCCCTCGCCGGCCTCGCCGCTGCATTCCCCGCGGAGGAAGCCGCGAGCGCCCGCGCAAAGCCGCTGCCCGGCGCGGGCGCCGCGGCGCTGCAGGCCGCGTGGGCGGAGAGCATACGCGAGCACGGCGCCGCGCCGCCCTGCAACGCGCGCGGCGCGGATCCGCGGTGGGCGAAGCCGCCGCGTGTCGAGCCGCCGCTGGCGCCGCCGGCGCCGCAGCAGCAGCAGCACGCGCAGCACGCGCCCCCCGACACCGACGCCGCGCGGTGGGCGGCGCCGGGCGTCGAAGCGCTGCTTGCGGGCGCGGACGCCGCCGCGCGGCTCGAAGCGGCAGGGTTTGTCGTCATCGACGGAGCCCTCGACGCAGCCGCCGTCGCGGGCGCCGCGCGCGCCGCCGCCGCGCTCGACGCCGCCGGCGCGCTGCGCGGCGT